TTGCATTGGCAATTTGGCACTTAGATTTTTTTTATTTTTTTTTTTTCAAACAAATTAATATGTTTACATAAAGTATGGTATTCCTGAAAAAGCAACATATATAAGTTATATCATGATTATTATTTATAATACATCAATTACATTTTTCAAAATATTCAAAAATATTTTATAAATACTTTATCTAGTGCAAAAAATATTGCCAAAAAACAAACTTAATGAATTTACAATAGACACATTCGTGGATACACCGAATAAATTTAATTATTTACTTTCTTGTTGATCGAGAGCATTGATTTATTACAAATGATTAGAAGTGTTATGGCGTAAACACTGCGACAATCAAGTCGGTGTTAGGCGATTATTGTTTAAGTCGATGTATATTCATAACCTAACCTACAAATTTCGAATCTCATAGAAATAATGTGATGAGAATCTCATTAAATAATTTGATACAATAATGGATGTATGAAAGCATACGAGTGGAAAGAAAAAAATGAGATCTCAATCTCACAATATGATATGACCAATCAATTTCTTATTCAGTATCAACGGAAGAACACAAACGAGGAGGAGTCATTTAAAGAAGACTCCTAAATCTTACTCCTAACTTGTCCAACAAGACAATATTTCTTACTAAATATTCGAATACCAATAATAAGAATAATAAATATTCTCTAACCAATCAAATAACATAAAAAGAATAATAATAAAGGTAAATGGAAATAAATATATCCTAAATAATTATGTTAGATGATATCTCGTCTTCATCATCTCCCCTCTTGATGGAGAGGGTTCGTCCTTTAACCTGAGCCTCGCGGCGTCATCTGTTGTCCCACACACAAACCCCGATCGTAAAGAGAACCTGCATCCGCCTATCGACAACATTTGTCAACAAAACATGTAGGAACAAAGCTGAATCCCAGTTGAGCTTTTTGATATGGGAGCCCACTAATCCCAAGCCTCCATTTCCGTCCACAGAATGTGCCAGATACAACATATTTGGAACAAATGAGGTAATATTTATGTTAGGATGATGATCACCTTCGCCAAAGCCTGGGAGATTATATATGACCAACTGAACACAGATTCTTCAAATAGTTGAATTTCGATACCCGTAACATGATGAAATTTCTCCAGTCCCGGAGGCTCCTCATCGAAAATTAACGGGCCGTCGTAGAGATCGTCTATCTCGCCGGTAAGACGCTCTTCCACTTCATCGGGTCCTTCATCAAACACCAGCAGACCATCGTACAATGGCCCATCAACTTGCTCTCCGTCGAATTCAGGGATTTCAAAGCAAAACGAGTCCTCCCATTGACCATGTTCGCGATCAAATTCTCAATCGCGTCGAGCACGATATCCACCGGCGAAGACAGCCTTCACGCGTCTGTCTTTGTCGTCGCGTTGACTGTCTCTGTCCATGTAAACCAGGCCCTTTTGCCGCATGTCACGGTCGTCGTATGCAACAAAGGGGTCAACCTCGACATGCGGGCGTGGTAATCGTTGAGGAGATTTCTCCGAGATTATCTTCTCGTCGTCTTCGTCACCATACGGTAGTTGTGGAGATCTCGGCGGGACGCCCCCCTAGACCACGACCTCCATGTCCTCCGCGAACTCCCTCGCGCACGCCCCGATTGTCAGCGTCATGGTTCCTCTGCAAATCCTCAACTATGTTGTTGATCGTAAGACGAACATCTTCAATCTCCGTCGAAAGATCCTCAACCTGACGATCACATTGATTGATCTGGCGGCCGAACCCATGGCTTGTCGACCAGGATGTTCAATGGTGGCTTCATGCTCGTCGATGTCATCATTCGTGGTGCATCTTGAATCGTGCTGACTTCTAATATCAACTGATGTAGAGAAGCGTACGAGTTCAATAACTTGACCACCTCACAAATCGAGCTATAGTTTGTCAACTCTCGATCAACCTCAACCCTCGGACAAGCCGTCAAGTTATTATAATTATAAAGAAATCACCAAGTACCTAACTTATACAAGATGCTATTAACCCCTTGTACAAAATTGTTGTTATGAATTATCAGATGCTATTACCCTTGTACATAATTACTAGTGTGTATCCCGTGCGATGCATGGGTATATAAATTTGGAGAATATTATAATTTGACATGCATTAGGATATATGAGAGTTTAATACATACGAACATTATTCATCATGAAATGTTCGTCACTAAAAACTCTTATATTATTAAAAACCTCTTTGAATACAACATATGAGTTTGATTATTGGGTAACTCGTTGTGAGGAGCATAGGCCGACTCGGGCCAGACGCGGGTTGCACAAAGGGCTGCAGAAATTGGGCCTCACTCAACTGGGCTCCCTTGTTGGGCTTCTCTCTTGGGCTGCAAATGCTGATTGTTGTCGCCAAAAAAATTGCCCCCACGCTTGGACAACTTTTATAATTTCCAACTATATTATAATATATATTTTATTTCGAGTTTAATTTTTTCGTTCCTATTTTATGAATATAGTTATTTTACATTCCTAGCTATACTAATAAAGTATATTTTTAGTTTGAATCATGTAACTTTCTTAATAGTGAGTTGAATAATTTATAGATAGAAACATAATTTAATGATTCCCTATAATTTCTCTCCCCTCTCCCTTTTTCATATTCCATAGTATTTCACAATTTTCTCCAAATAAAATAAAAAATTACATACAACAATTATTAGGTTGACCATCAATTAAATCAAAATAAGACTGTAAATAAATGTAAACTTTTCCGTAATAATTTCTATATTTTTTTGAAAATAATAATTGATGTTTCAGGTTTGACATAAAATTGGTTTGTTTGCTTTTTATTAATTGTTTATGAATAGACTATCTATCTTAATTTTTGTTCAAAGTTGGTTTATTTTTTGTTTTTTATCATCAGATATATCATGTTAGTCATTATTGGACATAAGCTCATAGGATTTGATGATAAATATGCATTTAGATTTTAACATGTGCAATATAAATGTAAAATATACAGAGAATATAACAACACTAAATTTAGTTTATTTGACAGTTGCACAACAATTAGAAAGATGTGATTTTTTAAATTAAATTTTCAAGATAAATGCATTGCCAAATCATAAATTTCCGCAAGCAAGGAGCTTGCTCTAATATATTATTCGAGATTTCAGTGCCGATGACCTTTTTTTACGGTAATGCAAGTAGAATTTGGGTAAAGCCGAATGAAAAATATTTTTGCAAATCTGTAGATGAGAATGAATTTAGAAGAACCATATTTATAAGAATATGTACATTATTAAAATATGAAAACAATAAAGAGTCCCAAGAGTTGGAAACCGTGTAATTAATATTTAATTAAACATATAAATTATCGATCTACATATCATAACTAATATATTTAATTTTATAATTCCATGTAAGTTGGATTTGTTTCCAACCACTACATCTTATAATAACTGATATGTAGAGATTTTCACAATGAAAAAAAAAAACACACGCCAAAACTGAAAAAAAAAATCCTAAAACTTGAAAACAATATAATTTTAAATTTAATTAAACATAAAAAACGGTTATAAAAATCATAGTTGATTACAAAGTATGTTTAATTTTAGAATTTCATATAAATTGGATTTGTTTACAACAAATAGAGGTTATGTTAAATTACAACTCTAATTTTGTTTAGATATCTAGAATATAAAACCCTTTAAAAGAGTCCCAACAGATGGAAACAATATAATTTTTAATTTTTTTAAACATAAAAAATAGAACTAATTAAAAAAAATATATAATTCTATATTTCCCTTAAAATTGGGATTCTTTACAAGAAAACAAAATCGTGTTACTAACTTATATGTTAGGTAATTAGAAATAAAAATGTATCCATAAAAATACGTGCTTAAAAAATAGTTATTATAAAAAAAAAAGTTTTATGTCATGTCAAAAAGTATTAATACACGTGTTATAAAAAAGTCGAATATCAAATATAATTGTATTCATACATTTTTCGAATAAAATTTTACGCAATATTATGTAAAAAACAAACTAAGTGAATGATATTCATTAAAGTGAATAGTATTCACTATAAAAAGAAGTCAAATATCAAATATAATTGTATTCATTATTGAATAGCAATAATGAATCAAAATAACAATAAAATTTGGGTGTGGATAAAAAAAAAGAATAAAGTATATGAATAAATTAAAAATGGAACAACAACAAAATATTAAAAATAACAACTAATTTTTTATTTTTTTTATTTCAATCAACCTAATTTCTTAAACCATAAAATCTAATAGTAAAAAAAAAAACAAATAACCCATGGAAAAAAATAAAATTACAAAATGCTCCATGATTTCAAATTTGGCAAAATGATTAACAGCCGCATTTTTTGGGAATGTTTATACCAAATTAATTACTGAAAATTTTCCGCATTTTGTGGGCATTTAATAGCTGAACGTGAAAAAAAGGAAAAGAAGTTGCCATTAATAGTAAACAATTAATGAAGAAAGTGGTTTGACCAAAAGTTGACCTGTCATTTTTTAAAAATGGTAAATCTTTTTATATAGATATAGATAGATTGTTATGAATTATCAATTATAAAAAAATGAGAAGAAACAAAAAAAGAAAAAAAAAGAAAGAAATTTGCCCACACCTATGTTGTAACTTGTAACCATGGTTAGCCGGGGTTAGGTGAGTTTATTGACCGGTGGTCTGGTTTGGTAGGCTTTTGTACATTTTTTTATTGCTTCTTCATCAACTCTCTCTCCTTCCTCTCTCTCTACCCTCCATAAAAGCTCCACACATTTTCTCCTTCCACATTTCGTACAAGCTCAGAGTCTCTCCAAACCTACCCACGCTCTCTCCTCAAACTTCACGCAGAAAACCAGAAGATTCATAAAGAGGGGAATAGAGAGGCTCTGAGAATCAAAACCCCCCAATTATTTTACTTAATCGCTGCTTAATCCACTGCCTTTTTCCAGAATTTTGGGGGAATTAGCTGGGAATTCAGTTCAGTAACCATGGAGTCCACCCCAGAGAAGCTCTCTCCCTTCGATCTGATGTCTGCGATCCTGAAAGGAGTGAAGCTGGACAATTCGAACGGGTCATCGGAGGCGGCGCCGCCTGCGGTGGTGGCGCTGATCATGGAGAACAAGGACCTTATGATGATGGTGGCCACCTCCATCGCCGTGCTCGTGGGTTATTTCCTGCTCATGTCTTGGCGGCGCGCGGCGAAATTGGCGAAGAAGAAGAAGGCGGAGCCGCCGAAGCCGCTGGTAACGAAGGCGGTGGCGGAGCCGGAGGAAGTGGATGACGGGAAGAAGAAGGTTACCATATTCTTTGGAACTCAGACTGGAACTGCCGAAGGCTTTGCTAAGGTAACAAAAGGGAAATTTAGCTAAATTAGAAAATCTTTTCTGGGAAAAGATGGATGATTGAAATTTCTGTCTGATTCTTAAAGTATAAGACTGATTTGAGTCACCGAATCTAAAAATAATCATTGGGCATAAAGCTGAAGGGCATGGAATCTTATATGAAGGGTATTCTTGTTCTTGATATGGCCTGAGATCTTACTGTTATGATTATCTTATTTTTTCTCACCACAGAAATATTATAGTATTTCTTCTGCTATGTCAGAAAAAAATGATTTTCTTTTTGCTTTTAGGCACTTGCAGAGGAAGCTAAAGCCAGATATCAGCAAGCCAAATTTAGAGTAGTCGACTTGGTAAGTTTTGTGTTCCTATTTTCTTGGTACATCAAACTTTGTAGATATACTTTTTTCAGAGTTTTCTTAGTAGTATTTCTGGTCTGTTATAGGATGATTATGCGGCCAATGACGAAGAGTATGAAGAGAAGATGAAGAAGGAGACTTTGGCCTTCTTCTTCCTGGCCACGTGAGTCTAAATTGCATTATATGTTAGCAACTATCTCAAGATTTACTGAATACGATTCCGTTTTGTGTTCGAGTGTTGATTAATTTTGTGAAATGTGCTAGAAGTGCTAGATCATATGTCGAACAAATAATTTTGTCCTGGTAATTTATTGAGTTGGTTGGGGATTGGTTGTTTGCAGGTATGGTGATGGTGAGCCTACCGACAATGCAGCCAGGTTTTACAAATGGTTTGTAGAGGTAAAAGAAAGTGAAGATAAACATTAGTAGATAGTAGCTTACTCTTACCTGAGTTTTTCACCAGGTCAAAATTTGGAATTATATTGAAATCAAAATTTTGTGCTTTTGTGGTGCAGGGGAAAGAGAAGGGAGACTGGCTTAAGAATCTCAAGTATGGTGTTTTTGGTCTTGGGAACAGGCAGTACGAGCATTTCAACAAGGTCTGTACCTCTGTAAAATTTAAACATGCATTCGGGCATTTGTTAAATTTTATTTTTGAGGATCATTTCTTCTAATTTTGCTTGTATGGGCAACAGATCGCAATTGAGGTGGACAAAATTGTTGAAGAGTTAGGTACGCTGATTTTCCCCAGTTTTTAGAAGAACATTTGAACTACTGATTAAACCTTCATTGGTCACCACTTGTAGGCCTATTGTGAATATTTTTTCAGAAAACAATTTTGCAGCTCGACCGATAAAATTGAGTTACATTTGTGTCAAAATCTGAACTTGTGATTCTCTTGCTATTATTTTTAGTACTTTCTATTTTCTTAGAAACCGTGGTGAATAATTCGGTCGCATATGCTTTCTTGCCGCATAATCAAATATAAACTGATTGTACATTTGTAGTGAAGTAAATGCTGGGCTAAATATTTGGAATTAATCTTAATCATGTAAAAGCGGATGCCAAATCAGTTACATTGAAGCTGATAATTTTCCTTATAAGGCTGATCTTTCATGGCCATGCCTTCTAATGTTGTCTATTTGTTATCGAAATTCAGGCGGACAGCGGCTGGTCCCCGTGGGTCTTGGAGATGATGATCAATGCATTGAAGACGACTTCTCGGCATGGTAACAACATCAGTCATCATCACAAAACTGACCAATTTTTTATTTTTTATTTTTTTCTTTTTAAACACATTGACTGATTGTTCTGATGTTTTTGTTCAATTGATAATAAAGGCGAGAATTGGTGTGGCCAGAGTTGGATACATTGTTACGCAGTGAGGATGACACAGCTGCAGCTACGCCGTACACTGCTGCCGTTTTGGAATATCGTGTTGTGTTCCATGACCATTCGGATGACTCGGTCTCAGTCAAAAGCTCGGCTAACGGTTATGCAAATGGCAATACGGTCTATGATGCTCAGCATCCGTGCAGGTGTATATTCCTTCTCGTTGGGTTTTTTTTTCAAGAATGTACTGATTGTTTCTTCATATCTAACGATTGTATTTTGATTTTGATTTTTTGAAGAGTAAATGTTGCTGTGAAGAAAGAGCTTCACACTCCATTGTCTGATCGTTCTTGCACTCACTTGGAATTCGACATAGCTGGAACTGGATTAGCGTGAGTGTCTATAAATTTTATATTATGTAACAGTTACGAAAACTTACCCACCTTTATAATCTGTTGCAACTACTTGCAGAAAATCTGAAACATGCAGCAAAATAGCATCTAACGTCTTTGAAATTTGTAAATTCAAAACAAAATACCTCAACAATTACATTTTGAAATCCTCTGAACACTCGCCGACTTGAACTTGCGGCCAAAGTGGTAATCTTGGCATTTCACTAAATGTACTACTATTTCTCAGGTACGAAACAGGTGATCATGTTGGTGTCTACTGCGAGAACTCAGTTGAGACAGTAGAGGAAGCAGAGAGGCTGCTTAACTTACCCCCACAGATGTTTTTCTCAATCCACACTGATAAAGAAGACGGGACCCCACTTGGTGGAAGCTCGTTGCCACCGCCTTTCCCTCCTTGCACTCTAAGGACGGCTTTAACTCGATATGCCGATCTTTTGGGTGCTCCCAAGAAGGTTCATTTGTATTCCACTATGCTTTTTTTTTTTTTTTTTTC